GGAATTGTCCTGACGTTATGCATCTGTGATTAAGAAGTTGATTTAATGGAACAAACCTCTTTGAATATTATTACAATAAATGTTCCCATTATGAAGGTACTTGAATCATGAATTTTTTTTTAAACGTTTTGAACTTTTTAAGCTTGCAAGATATTACGTTCATGTGTTTATATCACTTATGTTTATTTAAACACCCACCCTTTGTATTGTCGGCCTTATCAACTCTATTTGAAAATTTAGAGTATTAGGTCTATGTTTTTTTTTCTCACTCCTCGAGCTCTTTCTTCTTTTTTGTGTTTGTGCGTGTGCGCATGTTAATATACATGGGGGTGTAAATGAGTTGAGCTTGAGTGAGCCCAAGCTCGACTCATTAAAAAATACCATTGTTCATGTTCGGCTTGTTTCTATATTCAACGCAAAAAAATTATTTGTGTTTGACTCGTTTGCTTAGCGAGCCGAACACGAGCTGTTTGCGAACAATGAGCTGTTTTGACAACCCTAGCTATGCAACTGTAGGATGATATGGGTAGGGGCAAGATTTAAATCTTATTATTTATATTAAAATATTCATTTAAATAGAATTTAATATATTTTTTTTTCTATTTTTTTAATAAATAATTTTAATTAATTATAAATCTTTATAGCTTTGTAGTTAATTAAATTATTTAAAAATAATACACATCAAATATTCAAATACATAAACACACACGCGCGCACACACACACACACATATATATATATATAAAATGCTTTTCACGGGAGGCTCTGATAGGGTTTCGCCCGATGACGATCTCTTTCGTCGTCTTTGAATCATCTACCTTGTTCGACTTCATAGCCTTTGTTGACTTCGTCTGCAGGCCGATTTTTTTCGCATCTCACGGGAGACGAGAAGGGGTTGCAGGTTCGTCTTCCTCCTTGACTTAACTCGACGAAAATCCTGTTCGCGTCAAGCAGGTTCGTCGCCTCTCACGAAAGACGGGAATGGGGGTTGCGTGTTTGTCTTCCTCCTTCGTCGTCCTCCTTGACTCAGCTTGACAACAACGCGAGTTTGTCACACTTAGCTGCCAGGACATGATCAACTCCTCAGTCTTCCTCTTCGATTCAGCTTGACAGTAGCGCCATTCGGTTCATTGTTTCTTCGACACTCAGCTAGGACACAACCGACTTCAGCTCCCCATTTATTCTTTGTTTTTTCTCTGCTGGTTTCGATGGCCATTGTTCCTCCCTTGAATCACTACCTAGGCAAAAAATCTTTTGTTGAGGTGCTTATAAGGGTCTGAACTCTGAGATGGTTGTCCAACATGTGGTGTTTTCTCAGATCTATCTTTATTCCCTTGAAGGGAAAGCGACTGTCCGTTTGTTAAGAGGACATTTAGGAATGGTGGTAAGGCCAGTCTTATTTTTTCAGACCTCAAAGTTTCCACTCTGATTGAAAAATGCAAATTCACACTCATTAGGAAATTTCAGTTTGGGCATTCCAAAATGGAGGTTATTCACAAAGCTTTTAAGAATCTCAAACTTGTAGGACAATGGAAGCTAGGTCTCTTTGATGGGAGACTGTGATGATACAATTGACTACGAACGAAGATTATGCTAGGATTTTCTCCAGGAAATATCTCACTATTGAATGAAAAACTATGAAGTTGCTCAAGCGGTCTCCTGAATTTGACCCAAACTAAGAACCACCTATAGTACCAATGTGGTTTAAGTTACATGGCTTAAGTTGCATTTTTTCAATCATCAGGTTCTTTATTCCATTGAGGCAATGCTTGAGAGACCAATGAAGTTAGACATACCCACTTTTAATCTCACCAGACCTTCTATTGACAGGATCTTTATGGAGAGAGAAATCACTTTATCGAACATTGAGGAAATTTGACTTGGCACTGCACATAACAGGTACTGACAACAGATTGTCATGGAACAAACACCATACTATTGCACCCATTGTAAGTTGTTTGGACACACACTTGAAAATTGTTTCCGACTCTACCCTATTTTGAGACCCCGACCGCAAATGCCTCACCTAACTACTCAAGAAGCACTTATTCCACTGGCCGATATGGTGGAAATTTCAACTAGAGTGGATATTGCCGCTGTTTGTGCCCCAGAGGAGCACCCCTCACTACCTCATCCCCTTCAATTTGCAAAAAATGAGGATACTCTTTTTTTTAGTGTCAGATGATGCTCTAAATGCTATGGAAACAATTATTGCTGATGTTGAGGGTCCTCAAACCTTGGTGTAGTGCCAAGTTCAAGGTGGGCAACAGTTGAAAATTGCCCCCATTGATGATCAACTCAGTGATAAGTTGGGACAACTCTTGGAAGATGATTGAGAAGTTTACAAAACTAGGAAGAAGTAAAAAGCACTGAATGAACTCAGGAATTTACTGGAGGATGCTTTGCTTGTTTCGGGTGGAAGCCCTTATCACAGTTTGGTGTTAGACTCCCTCTCTAGATTCAGATAGAGAGGAAAGCCCACTCATCATGATTAAGCTCTCTTGTGGACCATTTTTTCCTTTTGGGGAAATTGTCCAACTATTTTGGGGTATAATTGTATTTTTTTTTTGTCATCTTTTTGAGTCTTGTATGTCTTGTGAGTAGATTCCTAGCATAAGCTCACTAAAACCTTTGTATCTTCTTCTCATTAATGAAAGTATTATTTTGTCGAATATATATATATATATATATATATATAATTTAGTTATTTCGAGCCAAAAGAGTCGAGCACGAACAAACAAATATTTGTTCTTGCTCGGCTCGTTTATATATCGAGTGCAAAAAATTATTTATGTTCGACTCATTTGCTTAGTGAATGTATTGAACAAATGCTACTTAATGAACCAAACACGAGCTGTTTGCGAATAACGAGTCATATTGATAACTCTACATATACATAATGGGACTAGAACGGTTTAGCCTAAAATTTGCAAGGATTCAATGAGGCGCTAAGGAATCAAAATTGTCTTCCAAGCCAGAGAAATATTTACATACGGAGAACGCACGCAACTTTCCGCGTGTAATCCCCTCTCAATAACATCTCAATAACCTCTGCAAAGGTTATTGAGGGGCTATTGCAGAGTTATTTCGGCATTATTTGGAATTAATGCACTTCGCGGTTACATTTTCACATTATGCGGTTACACTTCACATTTTCTCTGGTGTTAGTATATTGACTCCAAATAACGCCGAAATAATTCCGCAATAACCCCCCAATAACCTTCGCAGAGGTTATTGAAAAGTTATTGGGAGGGGATTACACACGGAGAGATGCGTGCGTTCTGCGTACGTAAATAGTTCGGCCCACTTAGGGCCATATTAAATTAAATGTCTTTGACATCCTCTTCAATGAGTGATATAAATTAAACATTTTTGCTTTTACCTTGAGGTATGACATGTAGCATACATTAATCTTTTGCTCAGTGGCTCGTATGAAACTAGTTACATTGAAATATGTGCTTAGGAATTGCTGCACCCGTAGGGAAATTGGTCTCATCGTTAAGGGGCATCCACTACTCTAAGGGAGATAACACTCTCTTATTGGTTACTTCGCACAACATTAAGGCTAGACTTTGATGTGATAGCTAAGGCTTTCTGTGTCAAAAGCTGAAAGCCACAACAACGTTAGCTTTATTGCTTATAATCATAGCAACTTCTTGACTTCAATACTAGTAAGACATTAATTTTTTTGGAGCATTTACATAGGACACAATTCTTATGTATTTAAATGTCTCATACCTAAACTTTCTTATTCACACACAACACTTAAACGTTTAATATCACATAAAAAATAGCACTTTACCATTTCTTTAAAAGAGAAATTCACCTTTTTCTTGCATATGTTTAAAACACCAAAGTGATATGTTTGTTAACATGAATCTTAACGTGTGGGATATGTAAATACATAAGAATTATGCGCTACATATGTAAGTTTCCCAATTTTTTAACTTGAGCTATATTGCTACAAGCCAGGCACCTCGTCTCTTTGTATTATGGTACACTCCTTAAAACCATAGGTGATGGAAGTATGAGATCTTGGTTGGTTTACATTCATCCCCACTTCTATGCCCCATGCACTATGCATGCACCACAACACAATATATTTATGAGTTGAGTCCTTTGAAAGACGGAGTAGATCAATCTCCTTTAACGAGCATTCTCTAGATAGAGAGTAATTTGTCATGATGGTGAACCTCAGATCTCAACAAACCCTGATCTAGGCGTGCATGAGATCTTGTTATATTATCAATCTTTGTTTTTGGGAAAATTTATGTTATCAATCTTTCTTTTTGGGAAAATATCACAGGTTTTCTCACAGGAATACCTTAAAAGCTTTTATTCAAGAGCTCATAACTACACCATCCTGAAATCTTACTCTATGTGTATTGATTGTAACTCCGAGGAACTTGTTTCACATGTTGAATGTCTTTTTTTCTTTATATATAAAAAAATAACTTGTTTCTCATGATGAATGTAAATTCAAGGCTGGTTGTGTATTATTTATATTGGAACTTTTGTATGTACTCTGATTATAACGTAAAAAAAATTTAAAAACGTTGTCTTTTTTCTTATTGTAAATTTTAGACTAATAATTATTATTCATATGTGGAACTTGTTTCACATGTTGAATGTCTTTTTACTTATTTATCTATCTATCTATCTATGTGTGTGTGGGCGCGCGCGCGCCGCGTACTCATATAAGTTGGTCGGGCATCTGCTTGTCAGTTGTGAGTCTCCTCTGGTTTAGGGTTCGATTCCCCCCGAGTGTATGTTGTGGTACTTGAATTATAGACGCATGTGGGATGGCCGGGGCTCGTATCATAGCCTCCGACCATTCCTTTTCAAAAAAAATAAAATTATATATATATATATATATATATATATATGTATGTATATATATATATGTATGTATGTATGTATGTATATGAATATATAGCATATTTTGTATTATACCATGCTTATAACTTGAAAGCATTAAAAAACAAATGTATGTTTTGCAGGGTAACAGCTTGATGAGGATCCTAAACATTGCTGCCTTTGCAGTATCAGGATATGCTTCAACAGAAGGCCGGCAATGCAAACCCTTCAATCCTCTTCTTGGGGAAACATATGAGGCTGATTATCCTGATAAAGGCCTTCGTTTCTTTTCTGAGAAGGTTTAATTTTCTTTTCCCTTTACCTTAAATTTCGTAATGACTTCTTCCATTTGAATAATATATGACATTTGAACTTCAATTTGGCATCTTTTACATGCTTACATGATTGGATGACGTAACTCCTTTTATTATCATTTTATATTTGGGGCATTTACAGACATAACACACAAATCTAATATATTTATACATCCCAGACGTAAACTTTCATAATTACACGCATAGCACTCGAATCTTTAATTTCACATAAAAAAATAGCTTTATTACAATTTTCTAAAAGTAAAATAGACTTTTTTCATGCATAGGTTTAAAGCACTAAAGTGCTATATGTATGTAAATATGAAACTTTAGGTGTGAGATATGTAAATACATAAGAATTAATAAGTAGGTTTTAGCAACGTGAATGCTGGAAAATATTAAATGGGAAATTTACATGCATACCAAGCAATTCTTGTCTTTGCATATCTAACACCTAAAGTTTGATTTTCACTCTTACAACACCTTGGTGTCATAAATCTATGCATGAAAATGTGCATTTAACTTTTAATAAGATATTGATGGTGGCAGTTTTTGTTGTGATGTTAAATGTTTGTGTTCTATGCACATAAATATTAATGTTTAGGTATTAGATTCGTAAATACATAAGAATTGTTTGGTATTTTTGTAAAAGCCACAAATATTAAACATCTTAAAAGCGGCCTTCTATGTATGATTTCAATGCTGTTTAGGTGAGTCATCATCCGATGGTTGTTGCCTGCCACTGTGAAGGTAGAGGATGGAAATTCTGGGGTGATTCCAATCTGAAAGGGAAGTTTTGGGGTCGGTCTATTCAACTTGATCCTATTGGAATATTAACCCTTAAATTCGAAGATGGAGAGACCTTCCAGTGGAGTAAAGTGACAACATCTATTTATAATATCATTCTCGGCAAAATATATTGTGATCACTATGGTACGATGCGCATAAAAGGCTCTGGTCAGTATTCTTGCAAGCTCAAATTCAAGGAGCAGTCTATTATTGATCGAAATCCCCATCAGGTATATGTGAAATCTCGAGCAAAGCAATTATGGGCTTTCGTGTTATACGATGAAGTGGTGCAATAAAGTAGAAATGTTTTTTTGTTCATAAACTTGTGATGTCAATGATCATGCTTCACTAGTTTTCTCAAATATGGAAAGCCCATTTTGTTTATTATTTTCGTTGCATTTTAGTATTGTACTTAAACTTTTTGCATCTCAATAGTTCTTATGGTGAATAAATTTATGAGAGAAGTGTCAAAATGGTCCCTTGACTCTTTTAAGATAGTCATTTTAGTACCAAAGTTCATAAAAGTGCCAATTTTGTGCCCAAGAGGTTTTAGTATTGTTTGAAATAGTCCCCAATGATGAATATTTTAGCTCTTATTAAAAGAGTCTTGGGATTAATTTAATACTTCTATAAAATCTGGAACTAAAATGATCTCATATAAGTAGTCAAGGAACTATTTTGACACTTTTAATTTGATTTTCCTGTTACTTTGCAATAAAAGTATGGATGGATGACCTTAGTTCAATTATTTGTGTTTACATAAGTTTAAGCTTTAGATTAGTTAGCTGACTAGAAAAATAATACAAAAATTTTACATTATTATGAATATATGGTAGGAGAGTATAGCGACCGTTCACTGAAGTGGTAAGTTTAGTCCTTGAAATTGTAGCATCCAAAATGGCTATAAAGGCATATGATTTCAATACTATTGAAAGTAATTATGGGGACCAAAATTTTGAATTTTATGTCAATTTTATGACATTAAGCTTTGCCGATAATGGATGATTGTGCTATTATAGCTGAAATGGCATTACTAATTTTGTCAAACACCGAAATCAGTGGCTTTATTCCAAACATATGGTCGTTAGGGCGAGAATTGTATAAAAGGTGGGAGGGAGCAGAGTGCTATATTTGTCTGTAAGGGGAGGTGGGGGGATGGTTGGGAGTAGGGCATCTAGGGTTATGTTTAACACTGCATTGATATTATGTTCGGGGGAAATTATTTTTGCTGTTGTGTTTTTCATTAGAGGTCCTTTCTATTATAAATAGAGGAATGAGTATAATGAACAAATATTCATCTACACTTTCTAAATATTAAATACTAATGCTAGAGCTTGTCATCATGTGGCACTGTAGCAGCTACAGTACTATCGATGCGATTACATAGCTGCTACAGTGACCATCTACACTTTCTAAATATTAAATACTAATGCTAGAGATTGTCATCATGCGGTACTGTAGCAGCTACAGTACCATCGATGCGGTCACATAGCTGCTACAGTGACCACGAATCTTTATTGCCTTTTTAGCCTCCTCCTCCCTCCTTTTCACTCCCTTCCATAAAGAGTTTCCTCCCTATTCATTGCTGCTTACCTTATCCACCACCTTGAACTTCTATCCTATTTCAAATTCCTTCTTTTTTCATTCCACCCCCTATTTAATTCTTGCCTAGTCTATCTCCTAATCTCTCCTATTTATAGGTGTTGTTTTTTGAAAATCATACGGTTTTGGGTGAGTGGAGCATTCTTAGTCCCGCCTTTGGGTCGTTCTTCCTCCCCAGAGGTTGTACTCGACTACGAGAAAGTGCTCCGGCTATGAGTCGTTTGAGGTGGTGATCGTTTCCAAGTGTCCGGATGGTGCTCCGGCTGTACCTCGACCCCGACAAGACATTTATCCTTTAGCAGCTCCCTCCGACCCTGCTTCCAGCAACTGCCAACCATTTCTAGGTCTTCGATCCGCTGCCCAGCCACTGTCCACCTCTTTCACTTGCTGCTGCCTACTTCCATGCTCCCCAAAATCTGCTGTCCACTCTCTGGTTTTCCCTGCCGCCACCCTTAAGTCTGTGCCCAGCTGTTATCATCACTCTCACAGCACCCCGTTGGCGGCTGTATCCTCATTTCGGCCTCTTGTTGCACCCGTCTCCTCCAATTATTCCCTCGACTTGCTGCCATCCGCCATCCACCACCCTTAGCGCCCCCCCAGGATGCCTTCCATGCTTGTATTATTGTTATTCTCCTATTATCAATCGTCAGTGTTTGTAGTCATTTTGAATTTCAACAATAAAATTATCATTTTCTATTATGGTTTGAGCATTTTCTTCGGTATCGAATGGTTTTCTAACTTGCTACTTCCTTGCTATAACAAGGGTAGGAAGAATGTGCATGCTGAATATTCAAGTTCATTTTGTTAAGGATCTAGAAACTGTTGGGTACAGACTTGTTTACTAGTTATTTTAACCTACCCTGCGTTAACATGGATATGTGTCATCAAAATATGTGCAGTTTCGTGTTATGTTAATCATGGTACAATTTGTTGTCAGGTGGATGGTTAGAGAGAGCAAGTTGGTACTAGTAAACAATTCCAATAATATATATATATATATATATA